GGAGGTGGAGGAGGAGGAGGAGGAGGAGGAGCAGCTGTGCATGTATCTCAGTGTGAAGATCCAGAATTCAATCCTCAGCATGTAAGGAAATAAGACAGGTAAACCAGTGATACAGTGACCCTGAGTCAATCCCTAGCACTGCAAAGGAGGGCAGGGGTGAATTTTTTAAAATCCAAACAAATGTAAAGATTTAATATTAAGATGGCATTATTCCACATTTGACCTAGAAATTCAAATACTACCATCTTTTGCACATAATAACAAGCAGATCCTAAAATTTTCAGAGAAATTTAAGTGACCCAGGATAGCCACAATTCTGAAAAATGAACAAAATTGTAGGACTCAATTCCCAGTTTCAACACTTACTACACAAAGCGACATTCACCAAGCCATTTTAATAAAGACCAAATGACTAGATCTAAGACCCAGTAACAATTCCATGCATTTGTTGTCATTAGATTTTTGAGAGGGACACCAAGTCCACTGAACAAGTGATGCTAAGACAAGCAAATTTTCACAAACAAACGAATGAAATGAAATGGACTCCTACTTCATACCATATATAAGAATTAATTTAAAACACATCAAAATTCTAAGAGCTAAAATCACAAATCCTTAAATGAAAACAGGGTAAACCTTCATGACCTCTGATTTGGGAATAGTTTTACATATGACAACAAAACCTTGAGCAAACAAAAATTATAAACTTGACTTCATTAAAATTTTAAACTTTTATACATTCAAAGGACATTATGAATAGGGTTTTATTTAGCAAAGGAAGAAAGTATTTACAAAAAATCTATTTGGTAAAGGTTTAATGTTTTTATTATATAAGGAACTTCTTCAAAAATTAAATAACAAATCCTAATGGTATAATTGACAATGTGAAATAGGAAGAAAAGGGCTAAAGGTGTGGGAGAAGTGGGAGGGGTAGGAGAAGGGAAATAGGGAGAAAAAAACCATGAGAGAACAAAAAAATGGAAACAAAGTATTTGTAAACAGGGAGGAGAAGAGGGGGTGAAGGGAGGGCAGGGGTAAGGGAAATAAATGAGAACCAAGACCTGTCATGTAAAGGTACAGATCCCAATGATGAATGCAACTGTACTGTATACCTAAAATATACCAAAATAAATTCAATGAGAAAAAAATTAAATAACAAAATACAGACACAATTTAAAAATGGGCAAAGCTGGCACAGTAGTACACACCTGTAGTCCCAGCACTCAGTGGGCTGAGACAGGAGAATCACTTGAGCACAAGAATTTAAGGCACACCCCAGGAACACAGTACTGGGCAACATAGTGAGACTTCATCTCAAAGAAATATATCAAGCAAAGGACAGACATTTCTCCAAAGAGAAAATACAAAGGTCAAAGTATATAAAAGAGTGCTCAACATCATTAATCACTGGGGAAATGCAAATTGAAGCTGTACTAACATTACTTCCCACTATCTTAGGGTGAATATCTGAATTCTCCTGATACCAGGTGAAAGGGGGATCACGTGCCCCTTCGGGTGCCCCTTCCCAATTAGGCCACTTCCACACTGAGAGGTCTGGGATCTTTACTGTAGGGAGGCGAGCAGGAGGGGGGAGGGGGAGGGGGAGGGAGAGGGAGACACAGGTTTCAACTTTCCTGGACCACTGTGGCCTGGGGGGGGAGGGAAACCAGAGATAAGGGCATGAGGTCATTTTAGGAGCCAAGATGTACCAGGAGAATGCAGCCTGTGAGGCGGCGTCACAGCATACTTTAACATGATCAATTCCCTAACACCAACCAGGTATTGGGAAATGAACCCAGAGCCTCACACATGTCAGAGAAACACTCTACCAACGTGATGCATCCCCAGACCAGGATGACTGTATTTTAAAACAGGAAAGTAAAAAATGGAGCCCTCATATAGTCCCGATAGGAAAATTAAGATGATTCAGCTGCTGTGGAAAAAAAAAAAAAAAAAAAAAGGTTTCTTAAAAAGTTCCACATAGGGCTGAGGATTTAGCTTAATGGCACCAAAAAAGACAAGGTCCTGAGTTTGATCCCCGGTACCAAAAAAAAGTTCCACACAGAATTCTCATCTAACCCAACAATTAAGATATCTAAGAGAACTGCAACAAGTACTCAAGTACATGTACACACATGCTCATAGCACCACTATTCACATATCCAAAAGGAAGACACAATCAAAATGTTCATTAACAGATGATTGTGGAAACTAATTGTAGTATATCCATATAATGGAATTGTATTCAGCTTAAAGAGGTACAAAGTACTAATCAATGCTGTGATAAATCTCCAAAATATTATGCTAAGTTAAAGTTAGATATAAAACGCCACACTGGCCTTGAAAGCTCAAGGTCCTGAGTTCGATCCCTAGTACCCAAAAAAACAAACAAACAAACCAAAAAAAAAAGCCATTTACTGGCCTGGGGATTTAGCTCAGTGGTGCCCCTGCTTGTCTTTCAAGTACAAGGTCGTGAATTCAATCTGAGGG